AAAAAATGTCTACTCTCAGATCTCGCCTTAGCACATTATGATCCTGAGAAAGAGATCATTCTGGCAACTGACGCGAGTTTGTACGGAGGGTGCTGCATTGCTACACAAATATGAAGATGGCACTACTAAACCGATCGCGCACGCGTCGAGGACTCTTCTTCCGGCTGAAAAAATTATAGCCAGATCGAGAAAGAGGCTTTGTCGATTGTGTTCGGGGTTAAAAATACCATCGCTTTTTACATGGTAGATCATTTGTACTTCAAACGGACCATAAACCGTTACTTACAATATTTGGAGGTAAAAAAAAGGCATTCCTACGCATACAGCTAATCGCTTACAGCGATGGGGTGTAACCCCTGCTTAATTACCATTTTAGGATGGAATACGTCAAATCTAAAGAACATGAGCATGCGGATGGACTGTCAAGGCTGATTCCAAAAAATGAAGAAATTTTAGAAGAGACGGTTATAGCAGCATTAACTGAGGAAAAAGAAATATCAGGTCTCTTGTTGAATACAATCAGGGAATTGCCGGTAACGTTGGACCAAATAAAAAAAGAAGCGGAAAAAGATCACTATATTGTGAAATTAAGGAACCAGACGAGATGGAACAAAAAACAGAAAAAGGGAACTCAGATTTCACCTTTTTCAATTTGCGACAACACGTTGATGCACGCAGATAGAATTGTTATACCTCAATCTCTACGTACAGATATGCTGAAAGAATTTCATACCGGTCATCCTGGAATGTCTCGAATGAAATCACTCATGCGTGGTTACGTATACTGGCCAGGAATGGACAAGGATATTGAAGGTTTTGTAAGACTATGTAGAGGTTGTCAATTGGCTGCAAGGGCACCTCCGGTCAAAATGAATCCTTGGCCGAAAACGGATTTGCCGTGGGCACGTCTACATATAGACTATGCTGGACCAATTAATGGGTACCATTATTTGATATTGGTGGACTCTTTATCGAAATGGCCTGAGGTAGTCAAGTGCAAGCATCCTACATCTAGGAACACCATCAGTGCATTGGATGAAATTTTCAGTCGTTTCGGGGTTCCCAGGACATTGGTTAGCGACAATGGTACGGCGTTCACAAGTATGGAGTTTAAGGATTTCTGTACTGCCTTAGACATTGAACACATAACTACACCAGTGTGTCATCCCAGGTCGAACGGTCAAGCCGAGAAATTTGTTGACACTTTTAAACGTGCTTTACGTAAAAATAAAGGTATGGACACGGAAGAAAGAACTATTCAGAAGTTCTTAGCAATCTATAGGGTAACTCCTAATGAGAACAACGATGCGAAAATGTCACCGGCGGAAATTATGTTCGCAAGGAAAATTAGATCAATTTTCGATAGATTGTTACCCTATCAAAACAAAAAAGTTGCTAAGAAAGAGGAAAAAGTCAACATAAAAAATACACTTCAGGAGAAAAAATTTTATTTTTAAAATTTTAAAAGTGGAAAAAGCTATTGGATGGATGGCATAATCCAAAAAAGGATTGGTAAAGTGGTCTATACGATTAAAAGTAAAAAATTTACGTGTAAAAGACACATCAATCAGATTAGACCACGATATGGTGAAGAAAGTGAAAAAAGCGAAAAAGAAATTCCGATGGAAGTGTTATGCGATGCTTTTAACATGACACTACCCAATAGTGTATTTGAACCTGTATCGCATGGACCAGCCTTACGGGCTGAAAAGCGGAATTTATCTTCGCCAAAAAAGGATCTAATTGTGACGACTAAAAGAAGGAGCACACGGGAAAGAAAACCAGTGGAGCGTTTTCGTCCGGATCCAAAAAGAAGACGACATTAGAAGCAGAAATTTTCAAAAGGGAGAATTTCAGCTTCGGGGGGGTGGGGGGAGGTGTTGTGATGATATAACCCAACTTCCCCATTCACGATAATGGACGGACTGGTTGCCGATTAAGTACGACCACAGCGGACAGTCGTCAAGTCTTCGTTTGTTAACACCTATTGAGGTTAGCATACTCCCGACTCTGTCTCTGTACTTGACACACCTACATCCGATTATAAACCTATTATTGAAAACCAACACTCGGGTTACTTTGTTTATTATATCTTGCACGAGATATAACAGAAAGGATAGGATTTATTAATGAAATACATCAAAACTTTCAATCCATCTAATGATTCTATATATAGTGACATATAATATATATCAGTTTTATTATAGCAATGTATTGAAAATGATTTTACTATAGGAATGCATTGTAGATAATTTGAATACTAGCTGTTTATAGAACCCTTGAAATAAAGAGTAGGATTTCGACGTTGCTTAACTTCGGTGATCGTACAGGAACCAGTGCTTCAACGTGAAGTGGCCGTAAGTGTACATATTTAGTAACAGAGTAAATGTAGCAATGTTTAAAAATAATAATGTATTGTAAAAGATTTTACTATAGAAATGCACTGCGTTTTAGTTTAATATTTGTTGTTTACAATCCTTTCGTATAAAGAGTAGTGTTTATTATACAAATGCATGAAAACCTTAAATACAAATTCTTGGAGATGAGGTAATAAAATAATATACACTTTTGTATTTTTTTAAATGAGTTCACGCCTAGCAAGGCAATAAAGCCACTAAGACACAAATGTGAGGAAGAGTTAGGAAACAAAAGCATTGCTAAGGAGCAAAAACAAAAGAAGAGTAACCAGGAGGATAGTAGACAGTGATTGACATTGAATTTGCATTTTTGAAGATGATTTACATTTTTGAAGTTGACTGGTAAACGTGGAGCTGAAAGAGAGTTCCACAAGCGAGAAGTGCGAGCAAAGGAACTACTACCATAGAACTTACGGTTACATCTTGCCAACTCGACTGTAAATTGATGAGACATCGTCGTCAGTTGAGTTGGCTCAATAAGTTTCGTTCCTCTGCCAATTCCCACCATACTACGTTCTGCTATCCTCCTGCCCTAGACCGACAGGTTTGTTATGCGTTGCTTTCCCTTGTCTCATTTTCCCTCTATTCGACCTGTGAGTATTAGATTCTCCACGCTCTCCTTTCTCATTACGTGTCCCAGAAATTTCATCTGCCTCTTCTTTATGTTAAGTATAAGCTTCCTCCTTGCTTGCATCCTTTCCAATATCTCATCGTTGCTCACACGTTCACTCTATGATATCCTTAGTATCCTTCTGTAGAACCACATCTCCGCTGCCTCGAGTATCTTCTTCATCTTTGAGGAGACCGTTCAACATTGGCTTCCGAATAGGAGGACAGATGTCACGTACTCAGTACTCTTTCCTTTGGCACCAAAGAAATCCTCCTGCCTCGCAGTACTCCGTCCAGCTCATGGAATGCATCCATGGCCATCCGTCTTCGGATCTCAGTATCGCACCTACCGTCCCCCAGTGTTTTGACGGAGGCTGGTAGGTGCAACGCTAGCCGAGTACTGCGCTTAAATCCATATCGTCTAGGTACAATAGCGAGGGGCTCATCTGAACAATTCCCATCGTCTATAATCTTGACAAGATTTATCATTTCATGTTTTATTTTATTTTCGCATTATTTTTGTGGGTTTTGTTGTTAGAAAGATACCTGAAGTAGGCTGTAGAACTGATCGGTTGAAACCAAAAGCAACATAGTGAGTTCAATAGTTTGAAAAAATTCTTGAAAACTCATCTTAGCGCCGCTGTCATTTCACTTGATGTATACAAACATGTTTCAAACGTTTCTGATAGCTTTACTCAGACATTCCCTCGGCTTCATTACTACTCGGCTTAGTTTCAGGCATTTTCTGTCCTAACAACTGAAATTTAAAATAATAACAGAATTTTGAAATTTTTCATCTAAAATTCATTTTTGAAATTTTCGACACTCGGTATACTGCACATTGAAAATCAGTAAGAAAGGGGTTGTCGGGGGTCAAGAATTAATGTAAGCACTCTTCTTCTCCTATGTGTAGTGTCCCTTCAGGACATGGGCGATTTGTAGCTCTCAGTAAGGTCTGTCTTTTGGCTTTCTCTCCCAATTCCTGTTCTGCTAACCAATATACACAAGCTCGTTAGGTAAGTCATTCGCAGCTTTCCTCTGCTTTCCCTCTTGCCTTCTTGTGAGTGTTACATTTTCAAATCCATCTTTCTTCATGATGTGTGCTAGAATTTTCAACTGTCTGATTCGATGTATAAATGACCTTTTTGTTTCAATTTTCTCTACAACTTCCTCGTTTCTCACATGTCTAGGCCTTGGTATTCTTAGCATCCTTCTGTAGAGCCACATTCCTGTTGCCTTAAGTCCCTTCTTCATCTTTGAGCAGATTCCCCAGCATTTACTGCCATATAGGAGGACCGATATTACATAACAGTTCAGTAATCTTTCCTTTGTTTCTAACAAGATATTACTGTTTCTTAAGACTTTACTTAGCTTTTAGGAGGCTTCTTTGGCGATCCCAATGCGTTTCTAGACTTTGCTATCACATTTTCTGTCCTCTAAAACACTATTTAAATCTTTGTATTTACTTGATTTTGGTATCTACAATTCACAGTTCGCGTCTTAATCTGTTCCTCCTGTTGACATCTATACATTCTGTCTTCTTGCAATTGATGGTTAATCTTTTCTTCTCGCTTTCCTTTATTATTTTTGTAGGAGTTCATGAAGTTTCCTTTCTGTGTCTGCTATCAACATTGTGTAATGTAAGAGTTACAAACACAATAGGACTGTTATAGTTATATAAGTGTTTATGATACTGAACTTTTAACGCAAGAAAACGGCATTACTTAGAATAATTACTACGCTACTTATTTTGTAATTTATTTAAAATATTAAATTGAATTACATCAATGTGAATTTTTTAAACCTTATAAAATGGGTTGAAAGCGTTAAATCGAATATCAGTGAAATAATGTAAATTTATTATTTTTATGGATTTAAATTAAACTTAAATTTAGGACAAACAAATGCAAATTTAGTCAACCATTAGAGGCAGATGTTGCTTTCCTCAGCTTACCTTGCTTCTATTAGTGGCAGATGTCGTTTTCCTCAGCCTACCTCACTTCTATTAAAGGCGGGGTGTCGTTTCCTCGGCCTATCTCGCTTGTATTGGCGACAGATGTCGCTTTCCTCGGCCTCTCGCATCTATTAGAGGCAGGTGACGTTTTCCTCAGCCTACCTCACTTCTATTAGAGGCAGGTGTCGCCTTCTTAGGCTACCTCGCTTCTATTAGTGGCACATGTCGCTTTCTTCGGCCTATCTCGCTTCTATTAGAGACAGATATCACTTTACTCGGCCTACCTTGCTTCTATTAGTGGCAGATGTTGCTTTCCTCGGTCTACCTCACTTCTATTAGAGGCAAATGTAAATTTCCTCGGCCTACCTCGCTTCTATTAGAGGCAAATGTAAATTTCCTCGGTCTACCTCGCTTCTATTAGAGGAAAATGTCAATTTCCTCGGCTTACCACTCTTCTATCAGAGATAGGTGTCTTCATATCTCGATCTACCTCGCTTTTATTAGAGGCAGATGTCGCTTTCCTAGGCCTATCACGACTCTATTATCGGCATATGTTGCTTTCCTCGGCCTACCTCGTATCTATTAGAGGTAGGTGTCGATTTCCTCGGCCTACCTCGCTTCTATTAGAGGCTGGTATCGCTTTTTAGCCTACCTCGCTTCTATTAGAGGCAGATGACGCTTTCCTCGGCCTACCCCGCTTCTATTAGAAGCAGATGTCGTTTTCTTCGTCCCACCTCGCATTTTTAGAGGCAGATGTCGCTTTCCTCGGACTATCAGGCGTCTATTAGAGGCAGGTGTCGATTTCCTCGACGTACCTTGCTTATGTGAATTTCCTCGGCATACCTCGCTTCTCTTATAGGCAGATGTCGCTTTCCTCGGCTTAGATCGCTTTTATTAGAGGCAGATGTCGCTTCCCTTGGCCTACCTGGCTTTTGTTTGGGGCATATGACGCTGTCCTCGGCCTACCTCACTTCTATTAGGGCAGGTAATGTTTACCTCGGCCTAATTCGCTTCTATTAGAGGTAGGTATCTCTTTCTTAAGCTACCTCACTTCTATTAGTGGCAGATGTCGCTTTCTTCGGTCTACCTCGCTTCTATTAAGAGGCGGACGATGCTTTCCTTGGTCTACCTCGCTTCTATTCGTGGCAGATGTCAATTTCCCCGGCCTACCACTCTTCTATTGTAGGTAGGTGTCGTTTCATCGACATACCTCGCTTATATTAGAGGCCCATGTGAATTTCCTCGGCTTACCTCGCTTCTATTAGAGGCAGATGTCGCTTTCCTCGGCCTACATCGCTTCTATTAGCGGTAGATTTCGTTTTCCTCGGCCTACCTCACTTATGTTAGAGGCAGGTGTCGCTTTCTTCGGCACCTCGCTTCTATTAGTGGCTGATGCTGCATTCTTCGGCCTACTCCATTTCTATTCGAGGCAGATGTCGATTTCCTCGGCCCACCTCACATGTATTAGAGGCAGATGTCGCTTCCCTCGGCCCATCTCCCTTTTTGGGGAGCAGATGTCGCTTTCCTCGGCCTACCCCGCCTCTATTAGAGGCATGTGACGCTGTCCTCGGCCTACCTCGCTTCCGTTAGAAGCAGATGTCGCTTTCTTCGGCCTACCTTGCATCTATTAGAGGCAGATGTCACTTTCCTTATCTTACCTCATTCTGTTAGTGGCAGATGTCGCTTTCTTAGTCCTACCTCGCTTTTTTAGAGGCAAATGTCGCTTTCCTCCGACTATCTCGCTTATATTAGAGGCAGATATCGCTTTCCTCGGCCTACCTCAATTCTATTTGTGGCAGATGTCGCTTTCCTCGGACTATCTCGCTTCTATTAGCGGCAGATTACTCTTTCCTTGGCCTACCAGGCATCTGTTAGAGGCAGGTGTCGTTTTCCTCGGTCTACCTCGCTTCTATTAGAAGCAAATGTCGCTTTTTTTAGGCTACCGCGCTTCTATTAGTGGTAGATGTGACTTTCTTCGGCCTACCTCGCGTCTATTAGAGGCAGACAACGCTTTTCTAGGTCTACCTCTCTTCTATTCGTGGCAGATGTCAATTTCCTCTGCCTACCTCACTTCTATTAGTGGCAGATGTCGCTTTCTTCGGCTTACTTTATTCTATTAGTGGCAGATGTCGCTTTTATTGTCCTACACCGCTTTTTTAGAGGCATATGTGGCTTTCCTCGGACTATCTCCCTTCTATTAGAGGCAAATGTTGCTTTCCTCGGCTTACCTCGCTTCTATTAGAGGCAGGTGTCATTTTCCTAAGTCTACCTCGCTTTTATTAGAGGCAGGTGTCGCTTTCTTAGGCTACCTCGCTTCTATAAGTGACACATATCGCTTTCTTCGGCCTACCTCGCTTCTATTAGAGGCAGGTGTCATTTTCCTCGGCCTCCCTCGTTTCTATTAGAGGTAGGTGTCGCTTTTTTAGGCTACCGAGCTTCTATTAGAGGCAGACGACGCTTTTCTCAGTCTACCTCGCTTCTTTTAGAGGCAATTGTCGCTTTCTTAGGTTACCTCGCTTCTATTCGTGGCAGATGTCGCGTTCTTCGTTTTACCTCGCTTTTTTAGAGGCAGATGTCACTTTCCTCGGACTATCTCGCTTCTATTAGAGGCAGATGTCACTTTCCTTGGCCTACCTTGCTTCTATTAGTGCCAGATATCTCTTTCTTCGGTTTATCTCGCTTCTATTAGAGGCAGATATCTTTTCCCACGGCCTACCTCGTTACTATTAGAGGCAGATGTCGCTTTCCTCGGCTTACCTCACTTCTATTACAGGCAGATGTTGCTTCCTTCGGCCTACCTCACTTCTACTACCATCGTATCAACGATATCTTGAAACACCTCCATCGATTTTTTTCTTCTTAAAATTACATGGTTTTGTGGCTCTTGTGTCCGCTTCTTTTATTCTTATTTATTATTATTCCTCCGAAGATGACATTTAATAATTCAGTAGGGATTATGGCCACATCACTTTGACACAACTGTTCCGTACGATCACCGAAGTTAAGCAACGTCGAACCTGGTCAGTAACTAGATGGGTGACTGCTTGGAAATACCAGGTGCTCTAAGCTTTGATATGCTGGAAATGTAATGGATGATGGCTCGAAATTAGAAATCGGAGAGTCGAGTTCCAATTCCAGTTGGAGTCGTTACATTCACTTACGCACAAATGATTTTGGGAAAGGAATGAATTCATATTCCTCCCCCACCCACTCTCCATCTATTATGAATCCAGCTATGGGTTAATTAGTAAATCTTGTATCACTAAACTATTATTATCTCAAAAAATTCTTACATTCGAAAAATATTTTCTGGTTTTAAATAACCTGCAAAGGGTTGGTAAACCGTTGAAAAGAAATCAATCAATGAATCAATCAATGAATCAATTAATGAATCAATTAATGAATCAATCAATGAATAATTCAGATGAGAAAAATTTGTTGCGATATTTGTCTGCAGTGAAATGAACAGAGGGAAAGGGGGTTTTTTTTGTCAAAGTTATCTTCAATCAATAAAAGGTTACAAAAATCTAAAAACAGTCTTAGCAATAATATAAGTGACAGATTGTTATCAAAAGCCACTGTTGATGGCTTAAATAATGAACCGACTGTTGTTTGCGTCAGGTGGTAATAATTGTAAGTGAAATGATGCACTAAAATAAGTAACCGAGTAATCGTTTTAAGTTCTTTGAATATCGGTGCCAATTTTTTTTATCGTAATTAACTGTGCTTCCCAAACATTTTTTTCAAATCATGGCGCCCTAAGAGTATAAATATTTTTCTCGACTCGCTGAGTCAGATAATATTCAACAACTGTCTTTATGTGCATGTGGTTAGGTGAGTTAAAAATAAGAATATCGGTCAAGATTTGGTTAAGCAAACGTAGGAGGGGGTGCTGAAAAGATTTCAGCCCAACCCAATTTCTAAAACCAGACCAATTGACGGAGGATCATAACTTTGCGGGCAAGGACATCTTAGCCGAGTTGAGAAGTTTTCAACACCCACATTCTCATAAGTAACAGCGAAAAATGTTTTTCTGTGTAGTTTGGATTTGACTAAATCTATCTTTCATCCCATCCGGGGAATTTTCTGTTTTTCAGAAAAAGATTATCAAAGAAATAAATGAATTACCATTAAAGCAAGTGATCGATTTACAATGTAAGAGTCCAGTTTAACAGATATTTACATCTTCGTTAATTCAAACGCTATTTTAGTGGATGCCCGTATTTGGGTAGACGCTCTGTTTTTTAAACAGTGTTTATTTTGTCTACCGACCTGCACAGTCGAGGAAACTTAATAATTAATGTTTAATAATTATTATTAATAATAATAAGGATTAGAACCTGCGTCTCATTCCAGAGGAGAAACCCCCATCTGATCAGGCGGCCTTTCGACCACTCTTATTTAGACCACTCATATCTGTTCAGTTTCGGGTACTTGAACGTGCTGTAATGGTTAACAAGCTTGTCTCGCTAGATCAGTTATGATTTATGAGTATAGTCCTCACTGTGTGCCCCATACTTTCGGCTGTGTGTCACATCTAAGCTAAGCGTAGAAAATCCCCATATCTGTTTAGTTTCATATCAGAAACGTAAACAAAGCAATTTCTAAAGAATTAATGGATTTTATTTTTTTAATCCGACATATTTTTATTAATTCCAACGTTATTTTACTGGATACTCGTATTTGAAATAGATGCCCTGATTTTTTTTAAACTGTTTATTTCGTCTACCTGTCTGCACATTCGAGAAAACTTTATAAAAAAATAAGTAAATGTGTCCTCCTGAAATCTGAATGTGGAGATGCGTTTTAAGGCAAATCGAACCTTGCTTGGCTGTGAGGTTCTCTGTGGCCAAACGGGCTAAAGCATGCCAGATCAGACGGTGGTTTCCCCTACGAAAGTGGACGTAGGTTAGAATACTACCGGGGTGGGTGGTCACATTCCCTTCATTAAGTTTTATCGAATGCGCAGACCAGTTGACAAAATAAACACTATTTAAAACGGGGCGTTTTACCCAAATACGTATATCCATTAAAAAGACAGTTTGAAGTAATAAGGGTATTTACATTGTAAATTAAACATCGTGTATCTAAGAGACGGACAAAAAATAAGGTTCCAGTTTTAAATTATGCATACATTGTAAATGTATTCTCATGTATTCTCGTTAACAGTTAACGTTTTAGCTAAAGAGAAATGGTGTCTCAATAAAAGAAGGCTAATTAAAGAGAGGTGGAGTCCTGATAAAATTACCATAAAGAAGGCCAATTAACGAGAGATGCGTTCTAAATAAAAGAAGGCTAGTTAAAAAGAGGGTCCCCATAAAATTACCATTGAGAAGGCCAGTTAACGAGAGGTGGTGCCTAAATAAAAGAAGGCTTGGTAAAGAAAGGTGGAGTCTCGAAAAAATGCAGTGGAGAAGGCCAGTTAACGAGAGATGGTGTCTCAATAAAAGAAAACTAGTTTAAAAGGGGTGGAGGCCCGATAAAATTACTGTGGAGAAGGCCAGCTAACGAAATGTGCTGTTTAAATAAAAGAAGACCAGCTAAAGAGAAAGGTCGATCATGGATTCTGTTTGTTTATATTAACTAGGCATTTTAAGTTGCTTCTTTAATACATAGATGCTACGATAAAACTTAACAACGACACACACACACACACACACACACACACATATATATATATATATATATATTACACATCAAGTACCGAAAAGACAACATAGTGTGACACAGTATTGTCTGCCCGGGATTAAATCCTAGTCGCAGCATGAAGCTGTGATACTTCTCCTACCGGCGTTTTTGGGTTGACTCTTAGTCGCTGCCACCAACACGTGACCCGGTCGATCGGCAGTCGTCTCTACCCGGCGGGATCCTTTGGTCAAGGTACCAAATGGGATGGTCGGTCGATTCTAATGGCTTCACACTAGATTCGACACCGATTCGACACCAGCTCCGTCGTTCTCAGCTCACTTCCAATGACTGGTTACCGAAGTAACTACTTCGATCTCAACCTACCCATGTTGTGATTTGATCTTAGGTAGACAAGATCAATCAGGCATCGAGCCGTAGTGCAAGATGAATCTAAACTGAAGGTGATGTTGCACAAGCGTAAAAAGAAATAAATAAAAACCATAAAAATGTCCGGCTATGATAAAAGAAAGCAAATCAACTTTTATAAGTCTGCTCTATACAGGAGTGTGTGTGTTTTTCCCAACCCGTTTCTTCTGAGAGTGACACTTTTACACTTCTTTGGCAAGTTCTGGTCTTCTAAGTCAACTGGTTTAGTTTTTAAGTGCTGGCTCAGCTTCGTTCGTCAGTATAACTTGTGTGTAGAAAGGCGAAGTCAGAGGCGGAAGTCGTGAAATCTCTCGATCAGCTTCTGCGGGACAACTCTCTGGTTCCTGCTAGTGAACTTCTGCAACTCCGACTGCTACTGAACTGGACTGAACTGGCGAACTGCCCGAGGGCACTCGCTTATATAGACATAGACCAAAGACCGGTGTGAGGTTAGACGCAGCCTGGGGTTTTTGGTAATTCCCGATTTCTACCAAGGGAGCCCGTT